CCCCATGGCAATCGTGAAAGACTGTATGAATCCTGTGGGATCTGTTGTGCCGTCGTATGGTGTTACTTTAACCCTTCTCGGGTGGTGAGCTGGGAAATTGGTTATATTTTTCGTAAATGGAGTGTTCTGGGCTTCCTTTAGCATGCGGTCGAGTTCCGGGGCCGAGCTTGTTGCCTGATGAACCTGGGAGCTCATCCGTTGCAGTTGGGCTTTCATCGCTTCGAATTCACTGTTTAGTCATTGATCCTGGCGACTGGGGTTGCTGACGGTGGCTTCCTGCAGGCTCGGCTGCTCTAGGGTTCAGACGCCATCGTTTCCCGAATGTCTCTGATTTGCTTGTTCTCGGCCGATTGTCTGGGACCGGTCGACCTGCTCGTTTGGACTAGCGTCCAAGTCTTCAAATAATGCTCGTTGTAGACGTGGAGCGAAGGCGGTTGCGGCCGGCGTCTGCTCATTGCCTCGATTGTGGAGCTCGTCAATCCTGTTGTGGCAAACGTGTTGCACCGTAGCCAGGTCGTCGAGTCTCTCGTTCATTCCACTCGTGTTCTCGGTCATTTGGGCGATGAGCATTTGGAGTAGGCTCGACACGTCAGGCTGTGCCGAGGGATTTTTGGGAGACATCGTCGGACTTGGGGCGTTTGTTGTGACGACGGAAGGTCTAGTTGCAGGAACTGATCCCGTCGACCTTGCCAGAAAGACCGGTCCGGTGGGCGGAGTGTACGTGCGGTAGGCAGAAGCCATTGAGGTCGGCCTTGCGTATGATTGCTCTAGAGACGTCATTGGACTGCGTTCCTCCAACACCAGTGGGGTTGGCATGGGGAGTGCTACGGAATTCGACGTAATTGGTGCAAATGAAGTTGGTAAAAGCGATGCCGTAGGCGAAGGCGAAGGAGTCGGCAGGGATGACACCATGGAAGTCGGCAAGAGTGATATCGATGAGGTCGGCGCAGGTGACGTGGTGGAAGTAGTCGCGGGCGATACGGAGGAGGTCGGCGGGCCGACTGCGAATGGAATCTGTTCTGTCATCTTGACTTGTTATCTTTAAAACCTGAATCTACCCTCTCTGGAGCGCCAACTAGTGAACCTTAGATTCAACCTTGGATAATTCGTATTTTATTGATAACAAGAATCGAAAAATTACAAAACGGATTCGTCAAAAGTACTAAAAGGGGGGTTCCCAAAAACTGGGATCCCGAGCGAGAAGCTCTAACACGAAAGCCGACCTCCAAAAAGGAGAAGCTCTTACAAATGTGTGATTAAAGCCTAATTCCGTAAAACCCGGAGTAATAAATGTATTTTTCGTACTGCATACAGTCCTATTTATAGGGAATTAAGGTGGTAGCTTCGCTGGATGTTTTTTGACGAAATTAACCTTGTTGGGCTTCGCTCTTCAGACTTGGGCCGAGCTAGGTTTCATTGTTGAATATAGGTCGAGCTGATCTTAGGCCGAGCTGACTTCGGACCTGAGAATCGACTTGGACCGGGTCAGTTAAATGGGCCTTGAATAGGCCTAGTACCAACAGTCGGCTTCTTTTTTGTTCACTTTGATCTCTGCATATATATATATATATATATATATATATATATATATACAAACTCCACAAAAATCTAATTATCAAATTTATACATATATTCAAGTATTCAACATGCCATATTATATCTTCAAAGACCTATATTTTTTTCATTTTATATCTTCAACATGCCATATTCAAGTATGCATACTTAAAGTTTTTTTATATGATTAAAGATAATTTACTGCAAGAATTAGTAGTTCTTTGTAGCATAATGACTAATGTTTTATATTTTCAATACCAAAAATTTAGTAATTTTTTTTCTTTTTAACTCCACCTGTTCATTAGTATTATATGCAATATTAGTTACAAATATATAGATATTAAGAGAGGGTATATAACAAAATATACCTGATGCCATATTGTTTTCGGTGGACAACAAAACAACCAACACAATTACAAGAAAGAGAGTCATAATTGTTTTTGTGAGACCTATTTTCTCTCTTTTTCGTAAAATTTGTTAAAAAGAAGGCAAAATTTCCAGGTTTTGCAGAAGCTCCATTTATACAACTCTTGCTCTTGGTATTGAATTCATAAATCCCAATATATTATTCCCAAAATATTCTCAGCATTTTCAATATTTGTTAATAATATTTTTACCATAGTTTATTTCATACTTTAAAAAAAAAACATATTATTTAGGTAAAAGCTATTTGAATACATAAAATTATTTCCAAAAAAAATCATTTGAATACATTATGACTCTGATATTTAATTATTAGACAAATATTAGGAACAATGAAAAAAAAAATAGAAGAAGAAAGATAAATTATTGTTTATTTACTCAGATTCTTAAATTTAATATATTCAAATTTTAAATATAATTAAATTTTAAAATAAAGATTACAATGAAACAAGAAATAGATTTGTGATTATAACAAAAGGTAATTAATGACTGTTTGATGGGATGGAAATGGCAGTGCGGCAATGTGTTTGGAGTTAATAGTAAAAGTAAGATTTATAAAAAATTTGGCCAAGGAAGTGGAACTTGCGCATTTGAATGCAAAAGGGTGTGAGAATGTGATTGGGAGATAGGAGCGTTTAATATTGTGGTTACCACCATGTGGTGGCTGGATGAAATATTAATATTGATGAAACATCACATGGGAACCTCGGATTTGCAACCGCTGGTGGAATGCTACAGGATGAGGGGGTAATTGGTATGCAAGGTTCATTCTGAATATCGGCATATGTTCAGCGCATTTAGCTGAGTTATGGAGCGTTTATTATGGATTATTTATAGCCTGGAAACATCGAGTTACACATCTTGAAGTAGATTCACAAATAGTTGTGGGGTTCTTCACGACAGGGTTTAGTGAGTGTCATCTGCTGACTTTTCTAGTATGTTTATACAATGCCTTTTTATCAAGAAACTAGATAGTCCGAATTACATATGTATATAGGAGAGCTAACCGCCTATGTTGCACCAGATAGCATTGTTTCGACTATGTTGACAGATGTAAACGGAACAGCATGGGCTCACCATATCCGTGTGTAATTTGTTTTGTTGAATAAAATTTGGGGACTCTGTCCCTAACTTCTACCCAATGGTCTTCATCGTTGGTTTAACATAGAATGCCAAAACTTATTACTAACGTACGTGGTTTCGCTATAAAAAGTTATAATCTAGAGAGATTAGAGTTTTGTTACTATACTATCGGAAAACCATAATCCACAATCCACAATGATATGAAATTTGGTGGTATGAAGAATCCCACAGACAAAAAGTTATATTTAAACATGTCGCCGGCCAGTTAATTAATTACGTGTCTTAAAATATGATTGTCATTGACAAGGGAGTTTGCGTCCAAGAAGCAACTTCTCCAAATGTTATTGGATAAAAAATTGAGACATGTTAATTATTCATTGTAAGAATCATACGTACATCCTTCTAATATAACCAGATTTGATCAATTTCTCTGCATATACATGAACGCATATATAGGACTATACATATATACGGATTCACACTAGTAGTAATAGAAAAATGGTTTAATAATTTCTTGGAATTAGGCAAGCTATATTTCTCGTAAAAAATCCTAAATGGCAACATAAACCATTTTATCATTGAAGAGAAAAAAGAAAGAGAAGAAGAAAAAACTATGAATCCTTGATGATTCTCAAAGGATCTGATTTGACATTAAAGATGGGATTTAGGGTTGCTTTCTCCAATAGTTCGTAAATAAATTAATTTTCTAAGCGTGGGAACCTCTAGTTAATCATACAGCCTCGAATTATTGATCTTTAATTTCACCTATAATAATATTTTAGGACTAATTTTAACTGATATGTTTCTCTACTTTGCAACATCGCATCGAGCTCTTGGAAGTTGGCACATGTTGAGAAACTGGGAAATTATTGAATCCACTGAACATTCAAACATTGTTTTTGGCTCTATAAGATAAAAACCACAGAAAGGTTAATCTCTTAACCGATGCCATTTTCTTTAATTTGAAAAAACCATAAATAAAACCTTCTTAATCAATATTGAAAGGACTAATTAAAATTAGAAGCATTTTAAGCAGAAATTAATATTACGTCTAATCATAACCGATTTGATTAGACGCTTCATCTAACACGTTTTAGAACCAAACGGAACATCAAATAACTTCGAGTGGAGACAAAAACGATTTATTCATAGATGAATGTTGGTTTTGGTTTCAATTTTTTTATATTAGTTTAATTTACAATAAGAAATGGTTATTGGTGAGGACTTGATCGATCACCTAACACGAAGGTTTGGCTAACGGATGCAAGAAATGTAGGTTTTAATAATAAATCTGAATTTGACTTCAATTCTTTTAGCCAAATCTATAGATGCCGTTAACCTATATATATATTAATTTGAAAATATTTTATTGAAAAGGAAGAAAGTCTATCATTTCCCCAAGCATTTCAAGGAATATTTATATATATATATATATATACATATATGACTTACAAGATATGCATAAATATTTTGTTTAGAGAGAGAGAGAGAGATGCACACATAATATGTATTTGGATAATATAATTTGATCTGGTTATCAATTACTCTGTAACGTATATATTAACGTTAGAATAGATTAATATACCGACTAGCTTGTTATGTTTGGAGCTCGGACATGCCGGACGGCTAAGCTTTCATATAATTAGTATGCCAAACATTTGATCAGATTTTAATTAATATGTTAAACCATAAATATGAATTTGAAAAAGTACGTATCAATTAATAAATTAGCGAGATTGATGAATTCTACTGGCCCGAACTCTCTAATTATAAAAAAAGAAAAAGGAATTGTACCAACTTTCTGTGATGACATTAAACAAAATGTAAGCTGTGTCCTTTCCATCCATGTAATCTGCCATAACAAGGTACATGCATGTGCATAGTCTACCATATATATATATATAGATAACCTAATTAACCTAGATTACCTTTTCAAAGCCTTTCAGAGATATAAATAATCGTGTGCAGTTGCAAAAGCTTTATGAGATGGTATAGAAATGTTTACAAGCATATACGTTGATACTTTACAAGTATCCCACCGATACGGACTTATATATGTACACAAATGCTATACATATATGTAACTGAGCATATACCCATCAAAATGTACACAAAAACATATATACAATTGATGGGTACGAATATAAACTCCAACAAATTTACAGGGATGTTTATAGAATTGATTCAGAAGCGACCATGAAAGTTAGACAACATGGAAATAGGGACGACGCATAATCCTCTACTCCTTAAATCCATCTTATTGTTGTTGTTTCCTTCCCCAAGATTCCTCATCATCGTCATTTTTGTTTCATCACCTTCTTGGATTTGGATTTGATGATCCCTCATGCTTCTCATATTTCCCTATCGTCACCGTTTCAAAAACAAATTTACGCGTTTATTCATCAAATATAATGTTATTATCATTAATACTAACATATCAGTGAACATTTCCTTATAATTAAAAAAAATATATGTTGAGTTAATCTAATAATACATGACCAACTCTTCTATCAATTTAGTATGCAAAAGAAACTTCTCAATCTTTTCCGTATGAGTTATAAATGAATTTAAATTCAAGTGGATGGAGAGACACATATATATATATATATGTATCATGAAAGAAAGGTAGATATATTACCATAACGAAACCAGAAGAGACATAGTCCTCAATTTTTCTAGGAGGCGTCTGAATATGTTCAACCTGACTGACCTGTTCAATCATTCATATAGAATTTACAAATATGCTCTCACAACTATCACAAAGGGAAATTAATATTTTTTTAAAGGAAAAGCAAAGTAATTATTGGATGAAATTAATAATTAATCATATCTAACAATCTAAAATAAATTTTATAAAGAAATTTATTGATTGAAATTTCAATTACATGTTTTAGTTGGATTCTGTTAAGTAGTAATCTAACCTTAGGGCTGTTAACCGGAGAGCTAGCCGTGTCCTCCAAAGAATCATCCTCACAAATCTTTTTGGTTCTTGCTCTTCCAAACTTCAATTTCGCCGGAAAATTAACAGGAAAACTCCGGCCAGAAAAGGCATCGGTGGCGGCATCGGAGATCAGAGAAGGAGAGCCACCAAGAAGCGAACAAGAACTCTTTGCTTGATGATCACTTTCTTCATAATGAGTTCTGTATTGATTTGAGAAATCGTCAAGATAAGTTGTCCATCCACTCTCCTCTTGATGATCACCATCACGGTGATTATGTTCGTGATCATCAATATCAACATCATCATCGTGATGGTTGAACGGTGCGTGATTTTGTTCATAAGAATTACAAGAGAATGTATCCATCATGTGGAGAAAGGAGGAATAACCCACAATAAAATGGAATAATTCTTAAGTGGTTGCGTTGAGTATGTATATGTATATGCATTTATAAAGGTCGTTAAATTTTCATGGTATTTAATAAAGCGAAATAAATTAATTGGAGAGATAACAATCGGAATCTTGATGTGGTCATCACATGGGTCCCGAAGCGTTGATCAAAATTATTAATGGACTACCAAAAGCCAACGACGGACTTGTGAAGAAGTGTGACATTAAGCCATCTTTAGAAAATATGTTCCAACATAACTCATCATTCAATATTCATTGTAAGTGAAATATAAGTCCAATTATATTTTTTCGAAAAAACCTATTTGCATCTTCATACAAAGATGTGGATTTAGATTATTAGGTCGATCGGTAAGAGTGAATAATATACATCATAAGTAATGAAACAAAACGTTTTACATCAGGATATTGTTAAACGTAAGATTTGTAAGATTTTATTCTTTTCAATGATGTTTTATCAATCGTTTTGACCCATTATTAAGCTTAGATGAGATTTGGCCCAACTTATCGTCGATTTGCAGGCATTTCTCTATTATTAGTTGAGACATTGCTTTCGATCAAATTTATTTATGCAAGATAAAAGAATATTTAATGGGAAAATAATTAATGGTATCATTAGTATATTACACCTTATGTAAAATGATTCTATGATGATAGAATCAAACAACACTGAACCACGATGAATGGGAAAAACGAATTTTCTAAATCAAAATAAAATCCAAATAGGGTTGGTTAGTGTGAAAAGTAATACAAACGGCCGATTCCGTTGTGACAAATAGTCTCTAGAAAACGTTTTATTAATATGGCCATTTGATTTTTCTTTACTGGTTATCAGAAGAATTAAATAGTTAAAAATTTTATCGAACTTTATATAAAAGAAGAGATGAGGAATGCCTATGTTCGTTGAACTTGACCACTTTTGATGTTGCGTGAAAGTGGCAACGCCAAATCAAGAACAAGAAGACGTTTTGCTTTTATCGTTTAGCCGTTACATAATGATAACACTTAAAGTTGAAACTATTGGATGGGATGTGCAGAAACATGTGAAAATGAAATACGACGAGAGCTTGTTAATGGAAAATAATAGGGATAAAGAGGTAGAAAGCTAAGTGTTGGACTTTTATTAAGAAAATGATAAGAGGTAAATACGCTAGAAGGAAATGGTTAAAGGGTGACGAACAGTGTTTTGTGGGCTTGGTTATTTACATTTGATGCCACTGCGTGCGCGTAGGTGAGTGGAATAATGAAGTAGGTGATGACGAGTATTAAGTGGGTGATGGTGAATATGTGGACATTTATGGTATGAGTTTAAGTTGATTTTGAGCTTCGTAATAAATGAGGAGACATGATATATTCGCCGCCGCCTTACGTAAGCATGATATAGACAGAGGTGATAGCGAATTAATGTCATATGTAATGCTGCAACAAGATTATCGATGAGCGGGGCGGGAAACTAAAATATATGGGCACACCTAGGTTTATGGACTATCCATAAATACTAGTTCCTGCTTCTAATTCCATAGAGCGCTACAAGCTGAATAATCAGGTAAATTATTCTGAATTCTTTCATACTGTGTATGAATATCTATGTTGTAACTTGAAGCATCTCTCTTATTAATAACGGCATCGTTATGAATTTGATATTGTTAGGGATTATCAACAATGGTACAACTGTGGGAGGTCCTCAATGATCTGGTGCGGACAGAGCAATGGTGGTGGATGAAAGATGTCGGTGGGGTTTGACGGTTTGTGTTACTGGAGGATAGGCTTAGCAAAGTTATAAAGTTGTGGGAGGACCAGGGAATAGCTTCGGTCAAGGCGACAGTATGTAGAGAGCTAAACATCGACATGGATGAGGAGAATATCGAGCTTACGTACGAGATGCCGAAGTGGATGGATGGTGATGGAATTGTAACGGGTTATTTGAAATGATGGGGATTTGTGATGATATAAGTGTATCGTAGATGTCTATTAACATTAGTGGAGTGATATATCATTTTAAAGTGGTTATGTTATTTCTTAGTTTGTTATATGTGCGCAACGGATCATGTACTGGTAATTTATATTATAGTGTGTTATTTTCTTTCATAGATGTTTATCTTGCTCATGCATCTATAATATATGTTAATCTACGAGCTTATATAACTGTCTATTAATATTGGTGGGGTGTCATTACATATAATGGACAGATATATAAATGGCTGTTAAAAGAATACTAAATAAACGTGTACAATAGGTTATAGACGTCTAATATATTTGACAAACGGGTTTTCACATGATTTGGATCAAACAGAGAATGTCATATTGGATGTGGTATATGAGGGAGATGAGTTATATTTGGGCTGGGTGTTCAGGAACAAACGAGACTGCAAGGTTAAGATAGCTGATATTATCTCCATCGTGTTAGGCACACTTTCATCGTTCTGTCGAGCCGTTGTTGATTTCCTACATTCCTTGACTTTCTTAATCCCCGCCGAACTTTTTTTCTCCGTACATTTCCCTTCACGTTTCTGACTTTGTATAACCGCAGGTTGTGTCGGTGGAGCACCACCTTTCTGACCCCCAACAAACATATCTCTACAAAATCATGCACCCTCTGCAGTAAGCATCTCCAAGTGATCCACCTTGGGGTCGTCTACTTCAACAGGCCATGCGAAGGCACTTGGGGGGTTCCATCGAATTCGCCTTCGATTATTGAAGTCACAACCACCTACAAAAATAACCCACATGCTGATTTATAAGGCCGCATGTTGACATTTTGATATCCACGTAATCATGAATCCGATTATATTGTTGGAGATCTATAATGTAGGATACGGGGCTACGCAGATTTATAGTTAAGTTACCTAAATGAAATGATTGATGGCTATATATCAATGAGGATATACATATATGAATGTGATCTCTTTGCCTTGACTTGAATATGCAACTAATTCTACTAACCATTAAAGTCTAACTAGTGAAATGGATGACTATATATAGAATCGGATGTGCATATATGCATGTGGAGATCTGGTTTCTGAGTATGAGATTTTGTTGTAATTGTTGAAGATCTGATTTCGAGACCTAAGATTTAGTCACTTATGCAATGTTTCTGGAAAAATCAAAGACTGGAAACCCGACAAAGGTGGGAATCACTTCCCATAATTGAATGAGACAATAGGAATATATTCCCACAATCGGATAAGATAACGGTAAAAAGTTGGAACTTAGTAGTAAAAAACAGTTGGAACAGAAATATACAACCGACAGATGGATGTTACTTGGATATTCAACTCTCGGTGGGTGAGTCGCTATATTTCATCGACGAACAGCTATTCTTCCTCTGTATCTGGTTAATTCCCTTGTCTCTAATTTGCTTTGGGTTTATCGGGTGAATAAAATCCGAAGACGGCGGTGTGGAGCTATAAGATTTCATGAAAGCAATATGGTGGGTTTTTCAGGTGTTTGATTTCCAAAGAAGACGAAATGTCTTTATGGTTCCACCAAAGAAAGAGGGTGGGATATTAAATATGTGGTTTCATTCGCCACACAAAGACAAAGTTGTGGCCTTTTAAGTTTAACTGAGTAACATAATATTTTATTTGTTTGTAGGTCCATTATACAGAATATTTCATATCATGACTGGATTTGTGGGGGGTCTAAGAAAGATGATAGCGCGTGAGGGTATCGTGGGCAAAAGGAGTGACAAATTAATTTAATGTTCGAACGATAAAAAACAATAGTCAATTTCCTAATTCACTACCAGTTTTTAGCCATTCAGTAGTATTTTCTAAAATAATATCTAAATTGTTATGGAATTTTGTCAGGCTAAAAATGGAACAATTTATAGACAGAGTTTGTCTAATAGTAACCATTTTTAGTATTAAAAAAAAGTCAAAATAGTTGGCCACATTTTTATATCGATAAAAGGAAGTTTGAGTTAACAACTAAAATATATATATACAAATTAGTTTTTAACCTTTTCTCTCCATTTTTTCCATGTTATATAGTTCAAATTTGAGAATTTCTGAGCTTGAAACTCTGTAGTCTATAGATGCGAGTAAAAATCGATATCAATTCAGGTTAAAACTCAAAAGCGAAATGGTATTTACTATTTAAATTTTACTGGAACCAAAATTCTCCAGTGGTGATCGAAAGCGGAAAATTACAAAAAGAATAAGAAAAAAAAAATTCACCTTCTCTCTTTTTTTTTCCTGCTACTTTTCTCTCGATACCATTTTTCTCTGTTTTTTCCTTTTTTGCTGTTTGTTTTACAAAAAGAAACAGATAATAATGAAGAAAGCGGGCGAAATCTCCGCCGCCTCATATCTCCATTTCGCTTTAAAGACGGCTAGAAACGGTGCTCCGATCAGTCCCACGGCGGTGGGCAGGCGGTGAATGAGAAAAAAAAAAACGCTAACATCGGATTCGCTTCCTTTTTGTAAATATATCTACAAATACGTTTTCGGAAAATGCTAGAAGTCGATGATTGGTTCTCCGATGGTGAGATTTCTCTCCACCGTCCATGGTAAGTCAAAGAGCTTCGCCGTCACAAACTTGAAGATCTTATTTACGTTTATGTTGTATGAAGCACTCGAGAAGAAGAGCGTCGCGTTTAGGGCCTTCGCGTATGTTCTCGCCTGTTCACACACATCAGACACAACATTCACAGTGAGTTTCATTTTGAGACCAATGTATTTGATTTGTTACATAAGCTCTTGTAATAATTTCATTTCATGATTTTAAAAACGGATTAAGAAACATTATACCTGGCTAGCAATTGTCCATTGCAGATCAATCGGAAGCTGAATAAACTCATCAAACTTAGTTCCTACCATAACTGGAATCGCCGTCTGCGCATTAAACATATCAAAAGCATATAAGTGTTTTGCCTTATCAATAAGAGAAACATTTGAATCTTACATACAAACATTGAAACAGAACAGCTTCGGTTTTATTAATATAAGTGTGAGATGTTTAAAGTTTTTACCTGATTAGACTTCCTAGCTTCTTGATACCAGCTAATCACACTGCATAATGATAAAGATAAGAGGAAGCTTAGCTACATTGTATTATTAAAAATTGTCATGTTCTAAACAGCAATTAGTATATACCTGTTAAGTGTACAACGACTGGTTAAATCAAACATGAAGAGAATGGCTACAGAGTCTTTGCAAGCCATGGGGATTTGATCCCGTGATTTCTCAGCTCCTGAAAAAAATTGTTAATTAAAGCTTAATTAATCTTCTAATTACTTATGGATTAACAATAAGTAAACATTACTTGTTAAGAAGATGATGATACCTTCTAAGTCCCAGATACTGTAGGATATGCGAGCGCCTCCCATGGATAATGTCTTGTCCGTACAATTGATTCCTTTCTCCAATTCTCTCATTTCTACGTCTTTCTCTTCACCAACATATTTCGCCTTCAAAATCAAAATCAAAACCAAATCAATATTATCAAATCGAGATCGAGTGAGATTGAAATTAGAGAGATCGAATGTGATTTCACAAAAACAGGGACGATTGTGACAGATACGGAAGTTTTAGGGATAGTCAGCAAAAAAAAAAAAGTTATGATGAAGAAGACTTTTAATTCGAAATTTGAAAGAGACGTGATTGATTTTGTCACTAACCAGGAAGCTAGTTTTTCCGATTTCGGGATCTCCCAAGAGGCTGATCTTCAGAGAAACCAGATCAGAGTCCGATCTCCGGTGGCTGTTATCGTGGTCGTAAACCGGTGCGTGGCGTACGAAATCATCAACACCGACCTCCACGGCGGGGATCGGAGGAGGCTGAGGACGAGAGACGTTCGGAGACGGCGTGGCGCGAGTCAGCAACAGATACCTCCGTGATTTCCCGGGAGCGCAAGCGACGATTCTGCTCCATAGCAGCCGCGTGAATCGACGGAGAATCAAAATCCGACGGTTCACTCTATTCCTGAGATTGTTGATTCGAACGATTTTAAGGCAGGATTGAGCCATTCTCTCTCTCTCTCGAATTGATTTACACGGACGGAGAAATTCAAAAACCGAAAGGAGATTAAAAGAAGAAGAAGAAGAAGTTGCAGAATCAGAATCAGGAAACTAGAACGCAGCTTCAAGAAGATCTGATGGCCAGAGAGAAGCTGATTGGTTCCATTTTGGCCATGAAAGGAAAAAGGAAAGGAGAGAGAGAGGTAAAATAATACGGTGAAAGCTTTTAGGTTTCTGTGCTTCCTCCTCTTTTTCGGAGGGGACGACACTTAAAAGCTTTTTCTTAATTAAAATAATTTGATTAAGATTAAAAAAAGAGGATTAGGCTTATTTATTAATTAATGGAGGTTTGAAAAATTTGGGGGCAACGAACTTTTCTGTTGAGATGAGAGGTGCGAGGATATTGGGATGTGACTACCACATACACATTTTAACGTTTTGACCTGTAAATATATACGAAAATGACGTATCAATCATTCATATCTTACTTACGTGCTTGCCTTGTATGCAGACTTTTTAAGATCTTTTTAGCCTGACTATTTTGACAAATTTGAAAAAAAGAAAAAACTATATTGGATATTTTCTAATAATTAATATAGTATGTAATGAGAATTCGAAATTGATAAAACTAAACCATGTAATCGCTTACTGGTGTATTTAATCAAACATTGACAATGATTGATATGTTACACCAATTATACTTACGACTTGTGTTTGATTATCATTTTTTTTTTTTTTTGAAAAAATTCTACAATATGGTGTTATTGCCTAAATTCACCAAAATAATATTTGAAAACTTATTGAAACTTTAATGATTCAAAATATTATTTTACCAATAATTAATGTAATGAGTTCATATAGGTTTTGGCAACAAAGCATGCAATGATGAAGTGTGTCTTCATGTACCCACCGCATGTGAGCCATGTTTTTGGATGATTACACAATATTTGGGTTTCTGCCCTTAATTTCGATATATTGAATCACAAGTTGAAGTAATATAAGAGAACAAGGTTCAAGATTCTCTCGACATAATCCAATATTATAAGAATAAACTAAGCACATGATATTGGAGAATCAAATGCTGTTGATTTAATTCGCATAAGAAAATGCTGTTTCAAATGGTTATATTTTACGTTAATAATTGAGACCCACGTGAATTAGAAAAAAAAAGAAACACGTAATTAAAAAAAAAGAGGCTTAATAAAAGACATGTCTCCGACCACTGTTTTTTATTTATTCATTAAAACCAAAATGCACTATAGTTTAGTGGCTGCTAACTTTTTCGTTTTGGAATGATTTACCGAAATAAGTCGGGATTACATAAACTTTACAAATCAAATAACTGCATATTATTTTCACCATCAGTGGCCAACGTTCGAATGCATGTCAGAACAAAGAGGTTCAACTTATTATCAAAAGATTAGCATTTCTTAGTAAACCCTTTTTCAAAAAAAAAAAAAAAAAGATTAGCATTTCTTATATCCGAGGTCTAGTAATGTCGACAGAGTAGTATTGTTGGCCGAGGATACAAATATTCAAAACTTCAATATAATAGCGATTAGTATTAATCAAACGCTTGCCTAATTATGTCTGAGTCTCTATACAATTTTTTTTCATTTTTTTGCGTCTTGAGTCAACAAAAGAAATAATAAGGCGTAAACTGTTGACAAAATAGGGCGCCAATGTAACGTGGCGGCCATTATTGGCTTGTTTTGTTGTCCAGCAATTTACTATATTTAAAACATTTCTTTGGTAGTTAGATCCTTTTTTGTTGTTGTTTTATTTTCTTTGATAATAGGTTTTCATTTCTATTGTTGTTGGTGTTAAGGTTTTTATGAGAATAAGGTATCGAAAATTTTATCTCTTTTTCTTTCTTAAATGGAATAAAATTGACATTCAGTCTAGTAAGTTTCGTAACTAACAAGAATTTTTTCCTTTCTACTTTTTCTGGTTTTATGTTTTTAAAAATGATTATTATGGTTTATTATGCTAATTTTGTTTATTATTTCTTACAACACCAATTCCATCATACATGGGTTAAGTAGGCATTTTTCTTATTTTTTGTTTATTTTTGTAAGAAAGTGGCCACTATATACAGCAAAAATAAAGCAAGAGAAATTAAAAACTCAGCATTTGGAAAGAAAAGAACCAGATCATATCAAATAATTAAATTATCAACTCCAAAATTCTCTCTGTTGTGAGTCTCTAAACCAAACGGGCTGGACTGTTTTTATGATGTGGGCACTTTGTTTTTTAGGCCCATAATATCTGGCTTGGTGCCTATCCTGACCATTTTATGAGAAAACATGTTCCAAATTTTCTTATACATTCAAAAATCAAAACTTGGAGACTATAAACAATCAAACTTCATTACATTTAAAAAGAGAAACATTGAATAATTTACAATCTAACAAAATATCAGTAGATTAAAAGTTGTTAGGGTCTATCCAATCAAAAAAATTAGGATTTTGGAGAGCATATGCAAATCACTAAATAGTAAAGCAATACCAATTTTAATTTGGCATACACAACACATTACAAACCTCTTATTATTCTAAGTTAGGACAAAAATTGATGAAATCTTAGATCCATATAAGAGCATCTCCTTTGAGGAATTCTTAAAGAGTATCTCAACAATTCTAGTTTATAAGTGGTGGATATGCTCTAATGTCCTATTGTACCAGCTCACCGGTCATCTTGAGTACATATTTATTATTTGCATCTGTTTTCATTTGAAACCAATGAATCCAATCAGTTCATTGAATACCAAACTTACATTATTGACTTTTATCATTCAGGAATCACTTCTACTTTCTTATTGCTCCATTTGTCTAATCTATTAGAAGCTTCTTCCACCTGAAACACATATGATATCTGATTACTTTGAAATGTATAGAATCAATGAAATATAGATGTAGACACGTAGGCAAATGCAAACATGGTGGCTGAAAAAAGTTTTAAGAACTCTTGCCTCTTTAACCCAGTGTGTTCTAAATGTAACCCATCCCAAAATAACCGTTTGTATAAGCGTACCACAAATCATCCCTGTCCATATACCCTGTAAAATCAACAAAATTTTAATCCTATCATTAGCCTTATATTAGTCTCATAATAAAATACAAGAATCGTTGATTAACAATAAATAAATAAAGGCCAATTGTATAAAATGAAAAAGCAAGAAAGAGTATATATCTTGCCTTGGCATCATACTTGAAGTAAAACCCAAAGAGAACCCCAAGAGGAATTCCAATAATGTAGTAACATCCGATGTTCACTTTCGCAACAAATGTTTGCCAACCGCATCCAACCGCAACACCTTGAATCATCAGACACAAAAAGAGTTTTTAAACACTCTTTTTCTATTCTAAGTTACAAGATGTATAAAATAAAAGTTTTTTTACCAGAGAGTACAGGTTGGATTCCATTAAGGACAATCGTTACGGCAAGAAGAGGGCAGAGGTCAGAAACAGCAGCAGAAACGTTTTCACCCTCAGTAAACGCATAGCTCAAAACGTCACGGCATGCCAAAATAACAATGGCTAAGATCACGCATATACTTAACGAATAAATGTTGACGATAATAACAGAAAACGCTGCTGATTTAGGGTTTCCAGCTCCAAGTTCATTGCTCACTCTTACACTGGATCAACATACCAACATCAGATATTTACACATTGTAGTTACATTTATTGGAGAGGAAGAACTTATGGTTCAATGTGATTTAGCATAAATATTTGTGTTGGTGTACATTGTAAGAATCCAAATTGGATAGGCGCATTTTAATTTTAAATAATATTATTTCATCTGTTTCAGATTAATTATGTGTAGTTTTAAAAAAATTATACAAATTAAAAAAAAATAATATGATTTTTTATTTTAAAAACAAATTCTTAATGCAAAAAAATATTTATTGGTTTATAATAGACTCTAGCTATATAAATAAGGGGTATAGATTTCCAAAAAAAAAAAAAAATTAAGCGAGTTGGGACAACAGACCTGATCGCTGCATTGAACCCAACGGATACCATGAACATCCAACCTGAAATCGTCATGCTGAAACAAAGAAAGAGATCAAATATTAAATATGTTAGAAAGAAAGATATACTTTTAATTTGAAATTTTTTGGATCCTCTTGGTTAGAAAAAACCAAAAAAAAAAGAAAAGAATAGAGAACAAGTTTTAATTAACTACATGATTAGATATTTAACTTCCAAAGACCAATATATTCACATACTTAAATGCTCCTATACAAATTCTATGTTTTTTTAACAACGAAAATAAAGTAAAATAGTAAGTAACTCACTCTATCCCATTATATAAGATTGTAAGTTAAAACTACCGTCTTTTCGAAATTTAATTTTTTTAACAAAAGTTGAATAAATAGTCAAAAACATGATTGTCCCAATAATGCTATATAATTTAAAATATAAAAAAAAAACTTGTAGAACATCTTATATAAAAACACACAAAAATCTTTCTTAAACATTTTATATTATGGGTCAGAACTCATTTTTGATCATTTGTGTGTTGAATTAATTTTAATTAAACAATAACAACTATTTTTTTATACAAAAGCAAACTTTTCTAAATTTATATTTTTGTAATAATTATACAAAGATTTAAACATCATTTAAAGTGAAATAGTCAAGTACACAAAAAGAAGACAGCAAAAAAAAAAAATGCATGGGCCATAGTCGGTAGCAGAAGAAGAAGAATTAAAATTGTTCGCCACTAACTTAACTTTCCATATCTACAAAGACAACAACCAAACTTCGCCTTTGTACCCATCACAAAGAAAGTTTCGTTCTGCTTTATCTAATTGAGTGACATACTAAAAAAAAGTATCAAATCATTATCAGAAAATTCCACAACCAATTAACCATACGTATTGACGTCGAATCTCAAGATAGAAAACAAAAATGTCTATAATTGTCAACTTTTTTTAGAGGAATTTTTTTCCTTCTTTATTTTGTATTATTCTCTATTTGTACGAATTATAAATAAAATTAGTATTTCAAGTTACGATGACAAAATAACGTATTCGTTAATGGAAGTAGTAGTATTTTCAGAAAAAAACTTACCAAATGGATAAAGAATCCAGAGCAAGTTCCGGGTTCTCAAGTAGCCCGGCGATGAGAACGAGAATCTGAAAATACGACATCTCAAGGCAGAGCATCACGGCGGAGGCGGCGGAGAGTTTGAAGAAACTCGGTAAACCGGAGAACGCTTGTACACTGAATCCTCTCCACGTCTCACGACAACGCTCGCTCGTCACGATGTAAACAAACTGAGCCACCACTATGATCCACCACGAGAGGCTGAGCACGAGCGTAGCTCCGAGTAGCCCCATCCCTAGCTTGAAAACAACGAGCCAGCTCAAGAGAAGGTGAAAGCAGAGCGTGGCGGCTGAGATGTAAGCGCTCGGAGCCACGATGCTCTGCGACAAGAGGAATTTTCGGATCGGGAAATTCATAGCGTAGGCAAATATTTGAGGGATTAGGCCGTAGACGTAGAGAGATGCAGCGGAAGCGATCTCCGGAGATTCGCCGAGGAAAAGCAAGATCGGCTTGGAGAAGACGTAGATGAAGGTGAGGAGGACGCCGGTGAGAGAGAGCAAGACGGTGGATCTCTGGAGATAAACGCCGAGCATCTCGTATTTTCCGGCTCCGTACGCTTGACCGCACAACGTCTCCACCGCACTACCCATTCCTAGCTACGGATTTTCCAAATTTTTCAGTTTCAAGAACTTAAAACTTTTAGTTTCAAGAATCCAAAAACTATGTTTAGACACAAGTACCATGACACCGTAGGCAAAGACTTGGATTCCGGTGTTTCCGAGAGAAGCGGCGGCGAGTTCTAGGTTTCCGAGATGGCCGGCGAAGATTTGAGTGGACATGGACATGAGGTAGTTTATCAGGTAGAGGATGACGGCAGGCGCAGCAACCTTGAAGAGCGATTTTGATTCAATCATCGTGGCTTTACGAAGGCGACGAAACAGAGGAGTTTCGACGTCGGAGAGCACCCTCTCTAGCTCGCCGTTGCTCGATTCCGTTACATCGGCGTGGGGGTTGAGAAGCGGTTGGTATGCGCCGTCATTTTGAGACGAGTCCATGAGAGAAGCCGGAGATTTGCTCTCTGTGGTCTGTGCGTGTCTCTCTCTCTTTCTCTCTGGTTTTTTATTCTTCTAGCTTGTTACGTCCTTATTGGCTAACAAATTTGCTAAATCGTGATGACCATGTATCATTTCTTTTCTTCATATAAAAAAACATTTATTCTGTTTGAGTAAATACAAATTGGGATATCCTACCTTAGAGCATCCCATTAAAAAGTTTTCAAAAAATATCTTATCAATAAAATAATAAAAAAAATAAAAGAAAAGGAAAGACATGAGAATGGATATCTTGTTTCATTTTTATTGGTTCAATTCTTTTTTTCAATTAAAATTTAATTATATTGAAACACTATTATTTTTTTGTGCAACAAATATTATTACTTTAATTGTTGAGAATCTCACAAAAAGTTTTAACTAATATAGATGCTTTTAGACCATCTGTATCCATAATTTATTTATGAGTTTTTCAAGAAATAATTAAAAATTAAACAATATAAAATAAATAGGTTTTTCAAAACTCTCTCCAAAGTCACTCAAATTTTTAAAAACTCATTTATTTTTATATTATTAAAATCCATACATACTTCATATAATATATTTTTATTATTTTATTGTTTATTAAAAGTCTTGCAATGCAAATGTTCTTAATACATACATAATTGAATGTTTTTCGTTTCTTTTTTTTAATCAGATATTATATTTAACGAGATAATTTAGTCCACCCGTGTTTCTCATTGTGAGAAAAGTCAATAATTTGTGATTTTTTTACAAAATAAAAATATTTAGTTGCATTATAAATATATTCTAATTTTATAATCAGAATGTATTCTCTCTATTGTATGTGGAAAAATATAATATGCATTGGCATAAAACCCAAATTAAGTTGTGATTTTTCAGTAAGGTTGGGGAGGTTTCACCTGATTGATGATGATAGAGACGTATCGAGGGAGCAAGCGAGACCTAAACTTAACATGTTTGATGGCTAATTTCTGTTTTGAGGCACTTCCATTTTCATGAATACCATCTCTTGTTGGGTTGACTTACGACAGTAACTATTCAATATATTGGTGTTATACTATTATTAGATGACTCTGCTTCTGATGGACAGTGGATCTTCGGTGAACAATGAACATGTTAGGGAGATCTTTGAATATGTCTGCTTACAAATAACCGTTTTATCAATATAAGCTGCTATTACTTTACCTACAAGATCATTTTTAATATCATTGTACACTATTTGAAAGAAATTATGCTAGATTCTATTTCTATCTTCTTAAACGTCTGATAAATACAACCTAACGAACATCAAAACCGAAAAGAAAATTATGAAATTCTAAAAATATATATTAGTTTATTAATAAATTCCTGGAGTAACTACACTGAATATCAACAAAAAGATTACGAAAATAGCTAAACAGCAATATGTTTTTAAAATTGATTAATGAGAATAATTAAGCTCTTTTTTCTTCTTACCATTTTTTCCCCCGATAGATTCACTATTTTCACCCACTTCTCTATTCCATGGCCACCGCTGTTGATGGAGTAGAAAGCTAGAATGGCCCAGCCAAAAAGAAGAAGATAAAAAGGTGATTGACTTAATATTTATTCGTTTACGTGTATAAGTCATGAAATAAATATCACGTCAATCATCTTTTTAACTCAATGATTTAATGATATTAATTCAGACATTTAGCTCAAATGTAACTTTATTTACTGTGACAAATGGTTTAACATGTAACCAGATTCGTAAATGTGTATCGTTTCATCATTCCACACAACTTGTTACTAAGATTTAACTTAGGTTGAATTAATAATAGCAACGCAGTAAATCTTTAATTTGACATACAAACTCAACATTTCGTACCTATTCTTTGTGTTAAGCAAGCACACACATACATCCTACATCCATGTCCTATATATTACCAGATGACTGATAATCTTTAAAGCAATTTGGATCGATTTTTTCATTTAAAACTGATAAATCCAATTTGTTCATCGGATACCAAACATATATTGATCATTCGGGAACCACTTCTAATTTCTTGTTGCTCCATTTGTCCAACCTTTTCGAAGCTTCTTCCACCTGAAACAAACATATGATCCAAATTTTCTTGAATTGTATAATATCAAAGAAATATTGATGTAGTAGACACGGAGGAAAACACAAACTTAATTATACCTCTTTTGTCCAGTCTGTTCTAAACGTCACCCACGCTAAAATAATCGTTTGTATAATTGTACCACATATCATTCCCGTCCATATACCCTAAAACCATCAACAAATTTTAAACGCTATGATTAGTCTTTGATTAATTAGTTTCATTACTAATACCAGAATCATTGGATAACATATAATGATTAAATGATAAGAGTTTGAATTTTTAATTGAAAGACAAGAAGACTCTCTTGCCTTGGCATCGAACTTGAAGTAAAACCCAAATAGAGCACCAAGAGGAACTCCGACAATGTAGTAACATCCGACGTTAACTTTTGCCACAAACGTTTGCCAACCGCATCCAACCGCCACACCTTTAATAAAAACATTTTCCAAACAATTAGCGTATATTCTTGATTTAGGATTATGAAACTGTGATGTTATAAAACCAAGATGATTCTACCGGAAAGAACGGGTTGGATTCCATTCAAGACCAGCGTTATGGCAAGAAGCGGGCAGAGATCGGAAACCGCAGCCGAAACTTCTTCACCCTCAGTAAACGCATAGCTCAAAACATCACGGCAAGCCAAAACAACAATGGCTATGATCACACTTGTGATTAACGAATAAATGTTGACGATGATTACAGAAAACGCTGCTGATTTAGGATTCCCAGCTCCAAGTTCATTGCTCACTCTTACACTATATTAACATCATAACATCAATTTTTGTATACAGTTAGATTTGACTGAGTAAAATGCAAGGATCCATATTTTTTTTAATTTTTTGGGGGGAATAAATTCAATTAATTTTAAAAGTAGAGAAAGCAGTTGGAACCTTATCGCTGCATTGAAGCCAACAGATATCATGAACACCCAACCTGAAATCGTCATGCTGAACCACAAAAACCAAATACTATATATTAAACATTATTGCTCTGTTTGTACAACATTATTAAATTTCAACTTTTCACTTTTACATAAATAATCGAGATATCATTATTATAAAGAAGCGAATTATATCTTGATTTGGACCATTTGGTGCAAGTCCCACAGTTGGTAATGGAGAAAACAGAACTTTTGGAGGAATAAAAAAATATAGTACGAATCCCCAAGAAGCAAGAGATTATTAGAGAATTATTATTTAATTAGCTGTGACAATATTATATAATATCTTCGACAAAGGAGAGAATATGATAGCAGTGTTTTTTATCCGGTAATTTGGACAAAGAATAAAGTGTTGTTCGATTCCAAACTACAAAACTACATAACGAAATTACTACTACATATCTTCATACACTTAAATGAGCATGCAGAAAACGTAAAATACAGACTACAGAGGAAATGTGATGTGACCATATATTATGTCTGTAGCAGAGAAAAGGTCAAAATTATTCGCCACTAAACTTAACTTTCATGTCTCTAGAACCAAACTTCGGTTTGTACTCTCCTACATAAAGTTTTGTGCTGTCAAATCAACTTCTAACATAATTCATCAGAAAAGTTTTTTTTGTGGGTAAATAATTCATCAAAAAAGTCTAATAACTACACCACACGTAGTATTGGTATTAACGTCGAATCTCAAGATAGAAACCAAAAAAACATTAAACTGTCAATTTTAAAGGAAATCATTACTATATTTTTAAAATTTTAATTATGTTTAGTTTCGTTTACTATTTCCTAAAAATTAATTAATCATGTTAAACGAAATTAACGAGTCAGATATTTGTTTTTAAGGAAATAGTAATTTTTTTTTAGAAAAGACTTACCAAATTGAGAGAGAATCAAGAGCAAGTTCCGGATTCTCGAGAAGTCCGGCGAGGAGAACCAAGACCTGAAAATACCAAGTCTCAAGACAGAGCATCACGGCGGAGGCGGCGGAGAGTTTAAAGAAACTCGGTAAACCGGAAAACGCTTGTACACTGAAACCTCTCCACGTCTCACGACAACGCTCGCTCGTCACGATGTAAACAAACTGAGCCACCACTATGATCCACCACGAGAGGCTGAGCACGAGCGAAGCTCCGAGTAGTCCCATCCCGAGCTTGTAAACAGCGAGCCAGCTCATGAGAAGGTGGACGAAGAGCGTGGCGGTTGAGATGTACGCGCTCGGCGCGACGATGCTCTGCGCCTGGAGAAATTTCTGGATCGGGAAGTTAACGGCGTAGGCGAAGATTTGAGGGATCAGACCGTAGACGAAGAGAGACGCGGCGGAAGCGATCTCCGGAGATTCGCCGAGGAAACGAAGAATCGACTCGGAGAAGACGTAGATTAAGGTGAGGAGGACGCCGGTGAGTGTGAGCAAGACGGTGGATCTCTGGAGATAAACGCCGAGCATTTCGTACTTTCTCCCTCCGAACGCTTGACCGCACAGCGTCTCCACCGCACTCCCCATTCCGAGCTAACGGATTTTCAAATTTCATAATTCAACAACCGCATGCAAATAAGAAAATCAATCGATATTGTGGAATTTTCCGGTTTACCAGGAGACCGTAAGCGAAGATTTGGATTCCGGTGTTGCCGAGAGAAGCGGCGGCGAGTTCGAGGTTTCCGAGATGGCCGGAGAAGATTTGAGTGGACATGGACATGAGGTAGTTGATCATGTAGACGATGACGGCAGGAGCAGCAAGCTTGATGAGAAGCTTCGATTCGATCGCCGTGGCTTTACGTAGGCGGTGAAACAGAGGAGTTTCGACGTCGGAGAGCACCCTCTCAAGCTCGCCGTTGCTTGACTCCGTCGGCGGAGAAAGCTGAGGGTGGAGAAGCGGTTGATATACGCCGTCGTTTTGAGACGAGTCCATGAAGAAGCCGGAGATTTCGTCCTCTGTATCTCTTTCTCTCTCTTTCTCTTGTTTATTTGGGTTTGTTAACACTTATCACTACTTGGGGATTGTCGCTTGCATCATGTTTGCCCTGTGTAGTGTAATGTTAAGGTTCTTTTTGGACGCTGGCGAATGGCGGCTAATACAATTAAAAATCTATTTTTTCTGTACAGATATTCTTTGTTACTTCTATATTATTAACTATGTCACTTGAATGTATGTATAACCAACATCATTTTGTTAAAACATCGAGTCTTCAAAATTTCCTCTCTCTAAATCCTCTCAACCCTTCTTAACTTCTTTACTCAGATTTGAGTTTTTTTTGCAGGTGGCCGGCGATAATCTAACGCTGATGGCCGGCGATAATCCAACGTCGGTGCTGTGCTGTTTATATTTTATCGAATTTATCTATATAATATATTTTCTATTTAATCGAATTTTTAATTTCCACTTTGTTGAATAAATATATTTCGTTTATCATAATTCCTCTTCTGCATGTTTTTTTTAGATCTCAGAAAAATTTGATGAAATTTTTGTCTGTTAGTTGTTTGGTTTTTTCTATGCAGAATAATTCTTTGCTTTTAAGCTGATTTGCGAAGCAAATATTTCTTTGGAGATGTAAAATCGAGTTAATGAGGAGTTAATTGCATGGCTATGGTGCAGAGTCAGTAGATCTGACATTTTCACAAGCAGTTCAGAAGATATTCTGCTTCTTTTTTTTTGTCAAACTTTTAACTTGTATTAATTTAACAAAGTTTTACCTCCAATTGAAGATGATACAAACAGCCACAGAGAGCCAAACAGAGACATACATCAACCAACAGGCTGGTGAAGCACAAGACGAAACAAATACAACAAAGAAACCTCAAACGAGGTAAAAGGATAAGAGGGAGCTAATAAGCTCAATGCAAGATAGATGGGAGCCAACAAGCTCAACCAAAACAACATCCAGACAAGAGTACAATTTGCTGTCTTGAAAGATGCCAACAAGAGGAGGAATCACAGCCTCCAACGTCAGTGAGGTGAAGGCGTTAGCAAAAACAATTACTGAAAGAGAGACTGATAATCTCAAGACTTTTGTTTTAAACAGAACTACCTTCGACACAATGTTCCCTGAATCAATACCACTCAAGACAAGTAAAATATATGGAAGAAATACAGCCTCCTTAAAGGAGAGAAGAGGACTATAATAGTCCAGAACCCGATTCAATGGAAGAGGGCTATTAAGACAAGTTATCATTCTAAACTGCCACTTAAGAAGAGAACTTGAAATTTCCATCAAACTGAAAATGGGATAAACTCTAAATATTGCAGTAAAGGACCGCACTGAGGCGGAAACACTAAGGACCAAAGCAAGCATTTCCCATCTCGCAACAATCTGATCCAAGAATGGAGAAGCAGAAGACGAGGATGAGGAGTAGGGGCTAACCTCGGAAATACGGATAAACATTAAGGAAACGAGGTGAGGAGCTGGAGAGGCGACATCAGATCTGTCGAGGTGGAGCGGCGACAAGGTTTCAAGACTGCATACTGCAGAAGGAGGGCATCCAGATGCTTAAGATAAGTCCCCAGAGGAAACAAGGAAAGCAAGCTCCCAAATGAGCCGCTGAAAATCTAGATCCAAATGTAAGAGGAGCATAATGGAGAGGTTGAGAGCGGCGGTGACAGGGAACCAAGGAAGATGGACGGTGGCGGCCAGGTCTGGAGGCTCGGTGGGAGAAAACTCTTCAAGCCGATCTGGTGAGGGCTTATCCGGCGGTGGATCTGGAGGAGTTTTGAGCAGAGGCGATGGAGGGAAGCACGGAGACGAAGCCATGTGAGAAAGGAAGAGGAGGGAGGAAGGAGAAGATTCGTCGGCGGCGAGAGGCCACACCGACGGCGGCGGAAAAAGGTTAAATCGCCAAAATCGCTTTATTTGAGAAAAAACCCTAAACTTAAAGTTGACACACTACTTCCATTCTGCTTCTAATCCTTCAATAAATCGTGGGTAAATCTACTAATGATGCAAATAATTATCATAATTTTTACTGATTATTACATGCAGAAGGATCGAGCAGAGTACAGATGAAGCAGCTCGTGAAGTTTGGCGATACCAATTTCAGCGATAATTCAGTTTCCGGTGACAAAAACGATGCTGCAAATTCTCGTCTCAATGTACACATGTGTTTGATTTTGTTTATTTTGTTACACGCGTCAACACGTGTCAAGCCCATGTTTTATTTATATTTTGTGCTATTGCACTCAACAAAAAATGTAACTTCTGTTTTACCCTTTAATGAGTTTGATGCCTTTTAAATTTTTAATTAAAGAAACTACAAAAAAATATTGAGTCTTCAACGGGTTTTGGCGGGAAAACATATTCCTCTATTTTAATTTCATTGAACAAAATTAAATATTTAATATTATCTAAATGGATTTTTATTTGAATATGTAATGTAATCAAGTTTATAAACCAAACGAAAGGAGCAATTAATTTACAACTTCATTTTATTTTAAAATTAAGAATTTATTGAATTTTGAAATTATAACTAAAACCAAACCATCCACACAACACTATGTTAAAAATATTTAATTGAACAACTAATCCTAAGATATTAGGATTTTGGGGATACAGATGCATTATGCAAATCAATAATAGTAAAAGAATAACCAAATTAATTTGGCATACAAATTTTTATTTATTTTATAAGCTAGCACATAATTTAATGAAAATTAAAATCGAACTCTAGAGGATTCATGTCCTATATTACATCGGTTTCCATTAAACCGATGGATCTCTTTTACTAGCAATTGTCGGTGAGCTGCAACTTACAGTGACTTTCATCATTTAGTTAAGAACAACTTCTTGTTTCTTGTTGCTCCATATGTCCAACCTTATGGAAGCTTCTTCCACCTGAAATAAACATATTCTCCAATTATTTTTGAAATAAATGAAATGTAGAATTCAGTTGCAAATGCGATGGTTGAAAGTTCAGAGAATATGATTACCTCTTTAACCCAGTCAGTTCTAAATGTAACCCATCCCAAAATAACCGTTTGTATAAGCGTACCACCAATCATCCCTGTCCATATACCCTGTAATATCAAAAAATTAAATTATTTATGATTATAGCACAAGACTTAAAATTAAATTGGACTTATAATATTAATACGAGAATTAGTTATCAATAGACACAAAGTAATTAAATAAAAAAAGCAAGAGAAAGTATCTTGCCTTGGCACCAAAATTGAAGTAAAATCCAAAGAGAGCTCCAAGAGGAATTCCGATAATGTAATAACATCCAACATTAACTTTAGCGACAAACGTTTGCCAACCGCATCCAACCGCAACACCTGAGTTCAACGCAAGAAAAGAAGACAAATTCAAAACACTTTTCCTTTGTTTGCGTTTGTGAAATTGCGGTTTATGAAGCAGAAGAATACCGGAGAGGACTGGTTGGATTCCATTGAGAACAAGCGTTATGGCAAGAAGCGGGCAGAGATCAGAAACCGCCGCCGAGACTTCTTCACCCTCAGTGAACGCATAGCTCAAAAGGTCACGGCATGCCAAAATAGCAATGGCGAAGATTACACTTGTGATTAACGAATAAATGTTGACGATGATAACGGAAAATGCTGCGGATTTAGGGTTCTTGGCTCCAAGTTCATTGCTCACTCTTACACTGCATCAACATTAATAACACCAAATTCTTACGCACACTCAAACTTAATTGTAAAATGAAAGAGCTCACGGTTCTGTGTGACTTAGCACATGTAAGTAAGAATCCATATCTTTCTCGTTGGTCATAATTTGGATAAGACATTTTCAATTTACATAATTATTTGAAATGAGAAAAAAACAGACCTTATTGCTGCATTGAATCCAACAGAGACCATGAACACCCAACCTGCAATCGTCATGCTGAAGCACAAAAAAGAAAAAAAATTATACATACTAATAACATCGTAAAAGAAAAACCGAGCTAATATATCATATATGTCTATCTAAATCATAATTGCTTGTGTTTATAAATTTAAGTTTTTCACTCTCACAAGTTTTTTCCTAACACATTTTATCATACATATAGTCGACAATTACAGCTATGACAGTGATCAGTGATCACACGGATTTGATATATTATATTGAAAAGTAAGAGAGTTAGGTGGCTTATATGTTTGGTAAGAAATAGAGTCAAATTTTGTTTTACGAGCAAATTATTTTGTCTTTAGCTATATTTTATTTTCTAGTATCTATAACTAGAATATCTACATATTGTTTTCAATTTATAACTAGAATAGGTAAAATATCATTTCTTCTAAGGAAATAATAATTTTAGTATTAGCAAAAACAAAAGAAAAAGAACTTACCAAATGGAAAGAGAGTCGAGAGCAAGTTCCGGGTTGGGTAGAAGTCCGGCGAGGAGAACGAGAATCTGAAAATACCAAGTCTCAAGGCAGAGCATCACGGCGGAGGAGGCGGAGAGTTTGAAGAAACTCGGTAAACCGGAAAACGCCTGCATGCTGAATCCTTGCCACGTCTTACGACAACGCTCGCTCGTCACGATGTAAACATACTGAGCCACCACTACAATCCACCACGAGAGACTGAGCACGAGCGAAGCTCCGAGCAGCCCCATCCCGAGCTTGTAAACGGCGAGCCAGCTCAGGAGAAGGTGGACGAAGAGCGTCGCGGTTGCGATGTACGCGCTCGGCGCCACGATGCTCTGCGCCTGGAGGAATTTCTGGATCGGGAAGTTAACCGCGTAGGCGAAGATTTGAGGGATTAGACCGTAGACGAAGAGAGACGCGGCGGAAGCGATTTCCGGAGATTCGCCGAGTAAAAGCAGGAGCGGCTCGGAGAAGAGGTACATTATGGTGAGGAGGACGCCGGTGAGAGAGAGCAAGACGGTGGATCTCTGGAGATAAACGCCGAGCATCTCGTACTTTCCTCCTCCGAACGCTTGACCACACAGCGTCTCCACCGCACTACCCATTCCTAGCTACGGATTTTTGAATTTATAATTTTTAAAAACATAACAAAATTCCCCAAATTTCAACAATAATGGATCGTTTCGGATTGAGACATACCATGAGACCGTAGGCGAAGACTTGGATCCCGGTGTTGCCGAGGGAAGCGGCGGCGAGTTCGAGATTTCCGAGATGACCGGAGAAGATTTGAGTGGACATGGACATGAGGTAGTTTATCATGTAGACGATGACGGCAGGAGCAGCAAGCTTGAAGAGAAGCTTCGATTCGATCGCCGTGGCTTTGCGAAAGCGGGTGAAGGTCGGAATTTCGGCGTCGGCGAGTATTCTCTCTAGCTCGCCGTTGCTTGATTCCGGTCCATCATCACCGTGAGGCTGGAGAAGCGGTTGGTCGTTTTGAGAAGAGTCCTTGACCATGACGAAGCCGGAGATTTGCACTCTCTCTCTCTCTCAAGTCTCTATGGTTACTGGTTAGTATAGTGTAGGTCTTTTATGAGTGGCGGCTCTAAATATATACTCGTGATTCTCGCTTCATGATTCTTTTTTGTTTTTAATCAGATATTTGTATTTTTTACTATATAATGGTACAAATTAGAAAAGGACTTTAGTGAAGCATAGTAGTCCACGTCAATTTTTTTCATTACATAGACAATTCTTTTTCCAGATTATTACATATTGACTTATTGATGCTCTTTACTGGTTTCACGGGACATACAATTGTAAATGGAAATGGAATTGACGATTCCACTGTATTCCACGTATTGATACCACAACCAGTCAAGTATCATGAACAGTAAGAGTCTTTTTAACGAAAAGATATTGATTTAGCTTCGGATGCGATTTCAAATATACAATCGTTCCTCAATGGTTCTATGGTGTACAGTCACACGCGGGTACAACTTTAGCCTTTATTAATTTTTTGTAACCATGTGATAGTGAATGAGTGATTCTGTCTTATTGAAAACTCGTCATGTTGGTCGAAACAAGAAAACGTAACGATATCTCTTATAGCGTGAAAGATACTCCGTAATGTAGGATACAAAAAAAAATATAATGAAGAAGACATCATCGAATGTTTCTAGTCTTGTTTCTAACGACTACCACGTCTCCATAAATCGGTAAAAATAAAAACATAATGTGGACATCCTTGTTTGATATTGATAAATTGACAGCGAATTTCAATCAGATTTCTATGTTTGAATGTTGAGAGTCCTATGTGTTGGTTTGTTTTCTTATCTGGCTACCGCATCCAGATGCAGATACGAAATACTGTTAATTTTGTAATAATTAATCATATGAACCATATGCAATAATTGGATACAAATTGTAAATTCTTTTAAAAAAAACAGAGATTTTGGATGTAAATAAAAGTAGAGTCAGGATGTAGAAAACTCATCAAAAACTATAAAGTCTAAAATCATCCTATCTATTTTAAACAATTATAAATCAACTTATTCCTAAATAATAAATTCAATAAAAACTTTAAATTCCCAAATTTCGATTTGTTTTCACATATTTCGATCGTGGATGAATAATGGCCGATTCTCCAACGTAGAAGCTTGATTCTATGACAAAGAAACTTTATTCTTCAACAAAGAAGCTCAGCGGTGTGCAAAGGTTAGATCTTTATATTTATCATCACTAGCCACTTGTACCAAGCTTTTAGAACAGAACAAAGAAGACTATCTCTGTTTATTTTTACAGTCTTTATGTTTGAACAGATCATCCCATCGTTTTCTGGGCAATAGTTCATTTTCTGACTTATCATTAACTTGGTTTAGTTGTTGTTATTAATGCTAAGTGTTTGATGCTGTAGCTCCATTGAAACTAGTTTTAGATGTTGTGTAGCGGCAGTGCTATTTGATGATTCTTTCCCTTTACCTCAAGGAAGATCCTACTATTTGTCAGACTTTTTGTGTTATGAAGATGATGAAAACAAGGTTCTATATTTGAAGTTTGAGACTGGTGAAAGCAGAGATGCATGAGGGATGCATGAGAACCATAGAGATGCATGAGGGATACATGGGAATCATCTATATTGTAACGTGTATGAACTCTAGTTTAGTTTTGTGATGGATTCTAGTTCATATCTTTGTCTTTGAATTTTATTGTGTATGAAATCTGAGTAACTGATCATGGCATCTATATTATTGAAGTTTTAATCTAAACTAGGCTTTTAACTCGCGTTACGCGCGAGTCTGTATTAATATTTTAGTTTAATTTTTTGGCTAATATCTTTTAAATTATCAAAACTATAATATATTTGTAGAAATTTTCATTTATATAAAAAAATTAAAACATAATATGTAGTATTTCCTATTTTTGTTTATAAAATTATAAATCTTATTAAGTAAAATCATAATAATGACACCTAACGAATTATCCAACTTTGAAATGTTTGATTTAGAAAATGGTTTTCTTACTAAATTTTTGGTGCTTTGTTTTGTATCCTTAGGATTTCTATGGTTTTTTTCTTTAAAATGTTTATATGTTTAAATATTTAGTTTCTTTACTAAATGTCTCACTAATGTTGTGTACATATACATATATATATAATATATGATATATGCTGATTCATATTTACTTTTGTTAGTAAGCTACACTAATCGTGTAAAGCTGTTTTTTGCTTCTCCAGCAAATCTTCTACGAATTTTAGGTTATATCTCTATTCAGTTTATAACATCTGTTTTATTTGCTGTCAACTATTTGCTAATATTTGTTTTTAAATATGTAAGATGATGTTGAGACTTCACATTATCATTGTTTTTTTATCTTTTGTGTGTTTATTCATGTTTTGATTTGAATATTTTATCTTCATATATTCCCATTTGAATTTGATTCATAATTTTGTCATATTATACTATTTAAATAAAATGTTAGAGGATGTTGCTTATGTGTTGTTCATGTTGACTAAGTTATAAGCAGTAAATATATATACAAATCAGACTTTATTACTGATTATATTTTAAATGTAAAGTTACTTGTGTAGTATTTTACTTTGTTAATTTTTTAACCAGACGCAACCAAGGTATTAATCTTTGTAAATTTAAATAATATGTTTGATTTAAAAATTTGTATAACCTATTAAAATTTTATATGGTTATCCATAGTCAACACCAATATTTTCGAAATCATGAATGTTTTTGGAACTATATTTCAAACTAATTTTCTTCTTAGATCTTTTTTTTGTTATTTTAAATATCCTCAATGGTAATTTTATATTTTATTTTAATTATCTAATTTTCTGCAGGTTTGATATACTTAAAACATATATATTTTTAATTAATCTCTTTTGTTATTGATTTTTCAAATAGGTAGCATATATATTAATCAAATATCTTTTACATAAATGCTTTTTATTTGTTAATTTTACTTTTTAAATTAATTAGAATGCTATTTTGACATGCTATAACTGGTTATTCTAAATTTTAAGTGAACTTCTCTCAAAAGTTTATACCATCATTTGCTTTTTTTAGTTAATATTTGTTTGGTAGTTAGCCTAAATATCAAACTAATTTTACTTTATATGACTTTTTTCTTTGATAATTTACCTCTCTTGATATTGATTTTTATTTTATTTTAACACACCATTGTTTTTAAAATATTGATTTACATATTTTTTTTGTTGGTTTAGTTTTTGTGACAATGAGTTTTTATTTTATTTTCACAATAAATTTAGACTTTTGACATAAATTTATTTTATTTAGTTATAAAAAATTATCTTAATTTTTCATTCTATTGTGATAGTTTTATATTTTTGTATGTTTTAATTTCATTAAAATATTATTAATGAAAAACTCTGATATAGACTAATGAGATTGAGTATATATGTCATATGTGGACGCTCTCATTGGCCTAAGACATCAACACAAACCACAACTACTATATTTTAAGTTAGCAGTTCAGATTTTAATTGTTTGTCGTGATTAAAATTTTTAAAAATTTAATTATGGTTTTAAATATAATTTTTAATAATTTTGTTCATTATACATGATTTTTCTTTCATAATCTATTTATATGTTAATTTACCTTTTTATTGTTAATAGAAAAATAAGATCTATTTTCAAAACTCTTTTTTATTAATAACTAACTTAAAATTTAGAAACTTTCCTAATAACAACAAAAACAAAATTAATTAAAATTTAAAAATTTTCCTTATAACAATTAAAACGAATTAATTAATTTTAATATACAATATATAATTAACTAACAATAATGATGATGTGTACCAATAAAATTGAATCTTTAAATCCTATATAGACACCCTTAAATGCATTTAGCATCAACTTTTATTAGTAATAGATTCCTAATGTTCTGAGTTTATTATATTGTAATTTTAAATTTATCATATAAATAAAATTTTCAATTTTAAATTTTATAAACGAATATATTTTTGAAAATTTAATTTTTATTAAATGAAAGTTATAAATAATTTAAATACTAATTTAATAATTATTGAATTGTAATATAAATCTTAATACAAAATATATTTTTTTAATTATTTTATTGTTAAGTAAATTCATATGCAAATATAAATATACTAACAAACATAACTGTATACAATTAATATTTAAACACATTAATCAAAAATACAAACGAACAATATTTAGATGCTGCGTCAAGATGTGTTCAGATACCGAAATGAACATCACCCTAATAGTCAAGAAAATTAGTTAATTTTATTGTATTGTGGAAGTTTAAGTTAATAAAATTAAGTTTTGCACACAAAAAAAGGACAGTCTTGTTTTGATGAAATTCTTTTTAGCTAAAAGCCTAAAAATAATAAACCCCAACCAACATGGTACGTACGTAGGTGCTCTTTATGGTGTCAGAACCAACATTGAATTAGAGGAGTGTAACCTAAGAACAATCCCAATGGTAACACTAATAGAATGGGTCTTAATGATTAATTATTAATATTTTGTGTATTTTATATATATAAGACACTTTGTAGAATTTTGTTGTTTTTAAGCATATAATGGAGACACTTTGATGAGTGTCTTAAAAAAAATTTAATAAATTTATGTAAAATTTATTTTAACAAATTTTAAACCATAATATATTTTTACAAAGGTAATACATATAAACATATAAATTATAGAAATGCAATTCAGTGCTTGTTGAGAAATCTTCTCTTTTGGAATTCCAGTGTTTGTTGCTAGGCATGAGACTTCGAATACTTCGAATAATTCGGATCGGATAATTCGGATAATCAGATAGTTTAGATTACTGAAATTCTACCGAAAATAACTGAAGTTTTTTATCTGAAACTATCCAATAGAGACACTATAAGTGAATGTCTTATTGATTAATTATTAATATTTTATGTACTTTTTGTATATAAGACACTTTGTAATTTTTGTTGTTTTTATAGCATACAATAGAGACACTTTTGATGGGTGTCTTAAAATATATATATATATATATATATATATATATATATATTTTAATAAATTTAAGTAAAAACTTTTGTTAACAACTTTTAAAACATATTACATTTTCAAAAATGTAATACAGTAAAAAATTTTATAAATTAATAAATTCGATAAATCAATACTTTTGTTTGGTCCCGAGTTGGACTGATCCAAAATTTAATATAAATCAATAAATTAATAAGATAATATTTTTTTGAAACCTTATGTAAAATATAGTCCTATTTATATCATAAATTAATAAACATCATATAAAATAATTTTATATAATTATATAATAATGATAATATATTAAATATAAGTATATTGTTGTTTTTTGTACTAAAGTTAAAATATTTTTATCATTTATTTCTAATTTTCTAATAAAAATTTTGAAAAATATTATAAATTTAAAAGAAAAAATTATTTTAATTAATTATTAATAAAAAATTTATTTTATCCAAACTGATAAATTAATAACTCTATAGATTAATAAAATATTGAACTCCCAACATTATTAATTTATAAAGTTTCTACTGTATATCAAAGCATATAAATTATAAATATGCAATTCAGAAACTGAAATTTTTCACCGTCCACTCACATCTTGCCACGTGTGTGTTCTTAAGTTAGACACTCGTGTCTTATTTTAGACACTGGTCTAAAATATAAAACACTATGAACGATTTTTTTATTCACTTTTATTATTAAAAACATTTGTTTAGATCCTTAAAGATTTCTATTGGGGTTGGTCTAACCCCTTAAAGCGCTATGGGTTTGTTCTTCGTTGCCGAAAGCCTAGTGGAAGAGATTCTTCTCGCAAGGAAAAGTGTTTTATTGAGTACTTTGATGTTTTGGGTCATATGAGACGACATGGAAGAAGTGACCCGTCACAAATTATTTGTAAAACATATCTAAAAAATCTTACTAAAGACGAGAAGCATGTAATCACAAACCCTAATTTATACGCATACTTTGAATTTTCTTTTAAAATATTATTTAATTGAATCAGCGTCATATTTGGCTTATTTACTTGTACATGCTAAAACCGATCATGTGTGAGCCGAACTTCATACAATTTTTGTTTATCATGGTTGAAGTTCTTCCCAAACAAAGTTTTCGAAATTCTGATTTGTGTAGCACAACCCGATTTTAGTCAATTTAACTTAAACTCTGATTCAGGACTCCAATACATTTTAAACTTATAAAAATGACAAACACGATGAAAAACAAGCAACAAACAAAACATATAAAAAAGGTTAAAAAATCATTATTTCAGGAGAAAAAGAAAAGCGCTAAATGTCCCACTTTAAAAAAAGAATCCCGCCTTTTAGTAAAAAGAGAAAAAGAAAAAGAAAAAATCCCACTTTTTGGAGTCTTTTTCGTCAATGGATGGACATGGAATAGAGACCAATAAGCATCTCAAGCGTTTATTATGGTAAATGAAGAGATTTTGATATGTGTGAATTATATATACAATTTCTAGTTCCAACATATGATTGCTCCCAAAAATTACCATTCACATAATGTATATAATGCCCATCTTGGCTTATACACATGAAGATCTCTATAATAAACGGAATTGCTTTTAAGGCCCAAAGTAAGGTAAAATGGTGTATATCCGATCTACCGTGGGTTAAAAGTTAAAACAAAACAAGTTGTCATCATCATTCCAAAATGTCAGGATTGCTTTGTTGAATTTAATAGTATGTGATCCAAAATTAGCTATTATAGCATTTATTGATTTTCGTTTCTTCCTTTGTCTCCATCTGTTTTACTTTCATTTCATCTCTAGAAATTGTAATCAGCAGGCGGATGCAGCCTTGGCATCAATTAATTTAAGTGCTATGAGTAGACTATTTTTGGTCTCTTTATTAATACCAGAATCACTGGATAACATAATAATTACTAAATGGTTTTGGCGGGGGAACAAAATTCTTCTACTCTAACTCACCAAACAAGGTTATATTTTACTATAATCTAAACGAAGTTGCTATTTGAATTTGTAAAAAAAAAAAAAAAAAATCCCTATTTAAACCAATTGAAAAAGAGCAATTAGTTTCATTTTAAATTAAGAATCTAACTGATTAAAAAATGACAACTGAAAGTCTGAAACCATACCAACCCATCCATACTATTAATCTTTTTTTCCATATTATTAACCTTCATAAACCTAAAATACTAAAATCGAAGATTTGAACTGATACCCACATAATAATATGTTTACAGAATTTGAAGATATAATGAAAAAATTTCAGTTTATTTAATACTTCAAAAACAAAACCAAGAACAACAAAGATATGTCCTAGGAAATTGGAGAGGCATACATAAGCTAACACAAAAATTAATGAAAACCAAGCTCGATTCATGTTCTTTATAACCAGCTCCTCGATAATTGCATCGGTTTCCATAAAACCGCAAAAATCAGCTATCAAGATCTCCTTCAGCAATTGTGGGTGAGCTGAAACTTGCAGTGACTTTCATCATTCAAGAACCATTTCTTGTTTCTTGTTGCTCCATATGTCCAACCTTTTGGCAGCTTCTTCCACCTGAAATAAACATATCATCCAATTATTTTTGAAGTGAATTAAGTCAATGAAATGTAGATAGTAAACACGTAGAACTCAAATGCAAATGTGATGGCTGAAAGTTTTGAGAATATACTTACCTCTTTAACCCAGTCTGTTCTAAATGTAACCCATCCCAATATAGCCGTTTGTATAAGCGTACCACCAATCATCCCTGTCCATATACCCTGTAAAATCAATAAATGAAATTCTATGATTAGCATTTAATTGGACTAATAAATAATAAATAGAACAAGAATTAGTTATTCATAGACACAAAGTAATAAAATAATATTTAAAGCAAGAGAAAATATCTTGCCTTGGCACCAAAATTGAAGTAAAATCCAAAGAGAGCCCCAAGAGGAATTCCGATAATGTAATAACATCCAACGTTAACTTTCGCCACAAACGTTTGCCAACCGCATCCAACCGCAACACCTAAGATCATCACAAACATAATAAAAAAAAAAGAATATCAAAACACTTTTTCTTTTATTTCGGTATGCGAAATTGCGATGTATGAAGCACAACGATACCGGAGAGAACAGGTTGGATTCCATTGAGAACAAGCGTTATGGCAAGAAGCGGGCAGAGATCAGAAACCGCGGCCGAAACTTCTGCACCCTCAGTGAACGCATAGCTCAAAACGTCACGGCACGCCAAAATAACAATGGCCAAGATTATACTTGTGATTAACGAATAAATGTTTACGATGATTACAGCAAACGCTGCTGATTTAGGGTTCTTAGCTCCAAGTTCATTGCTCACTCTTACACTGCATCAACATATGTGACACAGCTTAGTTGGAAAAAGAAAAGAGCCCACGGTTCAGTGTGAATTAGCGTATTTAAGTGTGTAAAATGTAAGAATCCATATATATCTGCTTAAATGGGATAAGACCATTTCAATTTATATGATTATTTGAATGAAAAAAGAAAAAAAAAAACAGACCTTATTGCTGCATTAAATCCAACAGCTATCATGAATACCCAACCTGAAATCGTCATGCTGAAACACAAAAAAAAAAACAAAATTATATACTAATGACTAATATCGTAAAAAAAAGGAGCTAGTATATGTTGTATATATCTAAATCATAATAGTTTGTGTTTAATCGATTTTTACTAATTTAAGTTTTTCACTCACATATTAATTGATTTTAATATCGTGACACGTTTTCTTTTCAAATCGACAATTACAGCTATGAAAGTGATCATATAGTTTTAGAAGTATCAAGACAATATATATTACAAAAGATAGAGAATCTATCCTTTTCAATAATAAAAAAGGAAGAGAATTCTATTTCGACTTGGTGCAAGTTTAGGTGGCTTGATCTGTGTGGTGAGAAAACAAGTCAAATTTGTTTTCTCTGTCAACAGTCAAATTCGTTTTTTACTGGAAAACTCTGTTTTCTTTATTATTACTTTTTTTCTATTTACAACTAAAATATCATTGATTAAATATTATGATTTCTACTCAAATATTTTTTTAAGGAAACATTTCCCCCCCAAACCCAAACAACAAAAAAAAGAACTTACCAAATGGAGAGAGAGTCGAGAGCAAGTTCCGGGTTGGGGAGAAGTCCGGCGAGGAGAACGAGAATCTGAAAATACCAAGTCTCAAGGCAGAGCATCACGGCGGAGGAGGCGGAGAGTTTGAAGAAACTCGGTAAACCGGAAAACGCCTGCATGCTGAATCCTTGCCACGTCTTACGACAACGCTCGCTCGTCACGATGTAAACATACTGAGCCACCACTACAATCCACCACGAGAGACTGAGCACGAGCGAAGCTCCGAGCAGCCCCATCCCGAGCTTGTAAACGGCGAGCCAGCTCAGGAGAAGGTGGACGAAGAGCGTCGCGGTTGCGATGTACGCGCTCGGCGCCACGATGCTCTGCGCCTGGAGGAATTTCTGGATCGGGAAGTTAACCGCGTAGGCAAATATTTGAGGTATCAGACCGTAGACGAAGAGAGCAGCGGCGGAAGCGATATCCGGCGATTCGCCGAGTAAAAGCAGGAGCGGCTCGGAGAAGAGGTACATTATGGTGAGGAGGATGCCGGTGAGAGAGAGCAAGACGGTGGATCTCTGGAGATAAACGCCGAGCATCTCGTACTTTCCTCCTCCGAACGCTTGACCACACAGCGTCTCCACCGCACTACCCATCCCGAGCTAACGGATTTTCCAATATTCGAAGTTTCAAATTTCAAAAAATAAAAAATAAATAAAAATCCCTAAATCTCAACAATAATACGATCGTTTCGGATTTGAGACATACCAGGAGACCGTAGGCGAAGATTTGGATCCCGGTGTTACCGAGAGAAGCGGCGGCGAGTTCTAAGTTTCCGAGATGACCGGAGAAGATTTGAGTGGACATGGACATGAGGTAGTTGATCATGTAGACGATGACGGCAGGAGCAGCAAGCTTGATGAGAAGCTTCGATTCGATCGCCGTGGCTTTACGAAAGCGGGTATAGGCCGGAGTTTCGACGTCGGAGAGCACTCTTTCAAGCTCGCCGTTGCTCGATTCCGTTCCACCACCGTGGTGAGGCTGGAGAAGCGGCTGATCGTTTTGAAAGGACTCCATGACGACGCCGGAGATTTTATCTCTCTCTCTCTCTCTCTCTGTTTCTCTCTCGATTCTCGCTTTTAGAACGTGTGTGGTTTGTGTAGTATACTCTAGACTTTTGGCTAGTCACGGCTATAAATATACTTGTGATTCTCGCTTAAGTATGATTTGATTTTGCTTTTTTTGTTTGTTAACTAGATATTTCTAGTAACACAGTGTTGTTACAAAAATGACTCGTGATTCACGCATCGAGATATTTTTTTTTCATTTCATATAACTTTTTTTTTTTTTTTACCAACTTACACATATTGAGGCTTTATTGGTTCAGTTAGATATCGAAACGATGATTATTACACTGTCTTCCACGTAAGTGGTTACCCGTTCTGACGAAACCGTTGTTAAAAAATTATTCCACATATTCCGTTGGTTAAGTTTTTGTTTTTGTTTTTTTAAAGATATTTATGGATACGAATACGATTCCAAATACAATTGCTCTCCTCCAAGGTTCTATTGTCTTTGTGCGAGTTATCAACATTTTGCTTTATTTTGTTTGTAACTGTATTTGCATATAAATCCTGATCCATAAATTCTATGTCAGATTTTTTTAAATAAAATTAATAAACTTCGTAGATGCTTGCATAAGTTACCTCCATACACCATAGTTCTATTATATTAATAAATAGGTTATCATCGTACACAAAGAAAACAGAAAAACTACAGATACAGTAGTTGCTTTAAAGTATATATTGGGTTTACTTGATGACACAACGCCGTAAGAGTTTTTTAACTAAAAATTCGCACAATAGTTAAAAACAGCAGTTTTTTTGTTTATCTATATTTGTTTTTTTTTTGTTTATCTGTATTTGATGTTTTGCAACTGTGCACATAAATTAAAAACTTTGTATAATGCATATTGCATACCTGTTGCAACCTTCATCATTATTGTTAACTAGGTATTTACCCGTGCTACACTGCTGGATATTTTTTCTAGATTTGTATATATATTTTTAATATAATAAAATTATTTCTATAATATAAATGAGTATTATATTTATTTTTTATTAGCTTAAAATATGCATTTATATGTTTTAAATCTGAATAAACATTATATATCATTAATTTTTTAATTTTTTAAAATTATAATCTACTATCAAATTTGTTTAGCTAACTATCTATAAATGTATATGTAAGAATAAAACAATACATTTTTAAGTACTTTCATGCTAATGCTAAATGTAATTTATTATCTCTACTAAATTGCTATTTGATCCTCTTTTGAAATTATATAAAGCAAATTGCCATTTAAAAAAAATATTAATTAATATAATTATTTTAAACTATAAAATTTATTTGTTTATCAAATATTTATTATAGACATATGTTTCTAAAACTACCAAACTATAATCAACAACATTCATATCAAAATCATTACTATTACTTTTAAACTAAATAGAAAGTTCTATTTGAACTGTTGAAATATCAATTTAGTTGAAATTAAATAATTCAATTTTGGTTACTATAAACATATTGTAACTTTGAAAATTAGCACAGAGAAATTTTATCATTTTACAAAAGCTGAGAAATTGTATTTTCCGACAAAACAAAAAAATATATTTTCCCACAAAACTGAGAAATCGCATATTCTCGCCAAAACCAAAAAAATTCATTTTCTCGTCAAACCTGAAATATCATTTTCCTACCAAAACAAAGAAATTATATTTTCTCTCAAAAACCAAAAAATCACATTTTCCCGCGAGAACCTGTGTTTTCCCGTCAAAACAGAGAAATCAAGTTTTTTCACCAAAACCAAAAAATTTCATTTTCCTGCAAAAACAAAAAATAGTATTTACCCATCAAAACCAAAAAGATATTTTCCCGCAAAAATCATCTATTCCCACCAAAACAAGAAAAATATATTTTTCTCGTCAAATCAAGAATCACGTCTTCCTACCAAAACCGATAAACTACAATTTTCTGCAAAAACCAAAAATTGCATTATCTCATGAGAAATTGCGTTTCCCGCAAAAACTAAAAAATTATATTTTCCTTCGAAAACTAAAAAATCAAATTATATGTCAAAAACTGAAAATTTGCATTTCCCATCAAAACCAAGAAATTGTTTATTCCCGCCAAAATCGAGAAATTTTGCTTTTCTATCAACCCGAAAAATTGCATTTTCTGCCAAAATTGTCAAATTACAATTTTCCGCAAAAATCAAAAAATTATATTATCCATCAAAAGCCGAAAAATTGTATTTTCTATCAAAACCGAGAATTTGTATTTTTCGTCAAAATTGAAAAGTTGCATTTTCCTCGCATTTTCTCGTCAAAATCAAATTTTTTATTTCTCACCAAAACCAAAAATTCACATTTTTCCGTCAAACCCGAGAATTCATTTTTTTCCGCCAAACCCGAGAATTCACTTTTTTCTGCATAACCGAGAAACTATGTTTTCCTACCAAAACTGAAAATCACATTTTTCTACCAAAACCAAGAAATTCTCTATTTCCGCCAAACCCAAGGAAATTTGTTCTGTAACCAGTGGAAATGTGAATCTCCAAGTTGTAGTGGTTTGAGTTTCTCCTCATTTGCTTTCGCCTTCCATTTTTTTTTTTTGTAAACTTTGGGCTTTTTAATGGGTCAGCAAAATAGTAAATTGATTTTATTAGTGTGTTAATAATACGTATTATTGTTATGTTTTTATTGGTTCAAATTTTTGCTGATGTGTGAGCTTTTTATAACATAACGTTTTTTGCATTGTTGTTACTCCTCTGTGTTACTTCACAGTTCTCTGTCTATTGCTCACGAGTCTACACTTTCTTTAATCATATACGTATCTATCAAGCAAACACATAGGTAGAAATTTTAATTTTTTTTGCTGTTTTTTATTATTTGAGTTTTGGTTTGGCAAAAATATAAAACAAAGATTTAATTTTATTATTTGTTGTTATTTATTATTTGGGTTTGACAAAAAAATAAAACAATTTTTTTTATTTGCTGTTATTTATTATTTGGGTTTGACAAAAAAATAAAACAATTTTTTTTATTTGCTGTTATTTATTATTTGGGTTTAGGTTTGACCAAAAAATAAAACTAAAATTAACAATAAAAAATATTTGGATTTTTAATGGGTTTAAATTTAAAAGTTAAAATATATTGATGACTTGTATTAATGAAATGTTTTTATTGGTGTATTTTTTTGCTGAAGTCTCATCTCCTAAAAACTTGAAAATACTGATGTGTCAAGCTACGAAGAGACTTATGAGTTATTGTTGTATTGATTGATTTATTTATTAATATAAGAACAAAAAGTCTTGCCAATGAGAACAACACTTATTTTAAAACAAAAAAAAAAAAGACTTTCAAACATTGAGTAAAACACAGAGAGTAGTTGGCATTATCGTTTTCTGTACCGCTACTTTTTTGCTTTCGTGATTGATAGCCATCAAAACAGTACTATCTTTACTATTGTGGTAAGAAAATAACTAAACAAACCTAACAGTTTGTTAGATTTATATCTTAGGTACAGCTTTATACATGCAAACAAACTTTACAGTATAACAAATAGCTTAATCTACAAACGAGTTCTTGTAAGAAACACAACTACTTAAAAGTATCACAATAAACGGTTAGTTTCTCAAACTCGCACGATATAAAGATGCACTTGGAAAATGGTTCGAGGCTAGGGGTTAAATATCTGTAGCCTCTTTTCAAATCCAAATTCTATGCTTAAGATACACAAGTTGTAAAAACGTTGTTTTTTTTTTATTTGAATATAATTTAACATTCATTTCAAAAAAAAAATGATTCATAACGAAGGATAAACAGATATATTACAAAGACGTCATCAGATTCCGTGAGGAAATTAAGGATCGGTCCTTCTAGTATGGTCTCTACGACTACCACGTACACGTCTCCATAAATCAATCACGCACAAAAATTAAAGTGTCGACAGCATTGTTTGACGAAAATTAATAGCTAAAACTATTAAATCCCAACTAACATAGTAGGTAAGGTGCAATTTATGACTGACAGAACCAAATCTGAATTAGAGGAGTTTCCCACTTGGAACCTAACCCCTTAAAGCGCTATGGCTTTGTTCTGCGTTGCCGAGAGCCTTTTTTAAAACTTGATTAGTAGTATTGATTTGAGAAACAGAGTTTAAAACAATAATACCAGAAGGCATCTTAAATGGGTTGAGCAAACAAGAGCTCATAAGATCCGAGTTACTAGTGAATGATTCTTCTTGCTTGTAGAGTTAATCCGAGATGCATGGAAGAGTGTTTATATTAATGAAAATATGAGCAAAATATCCACAAGTTTCCTGACTTTTGTGTTACTGAGATTAAATTCTGGTTCTGTCAAATGAACCGATATATGGAAGGAGTTTCGTCACAAAGTATTTGTAGAATAAGTTAGATTTTTTTACATATATTATAGTATAGACCTTGTTTAATATCTATTTAAACAATCTTATTAAATAAAGTAAAATATTTTGAAAAAAGTATAAGCCATCATTTATGGCATATTTTGAATTTTCTGTACCATTTTTTTAATCAGCGTCATATATTTGACTTATTAATATTTTCCTTTGCATATTTGCTTTTAAAACATATATAAGCGCCATAATCATTTGTTTTCCTTTAAAAACGTCCATAGTTTTTCTTCCTTGCATATTTTCTTTTAAAAAAAAATAGAAGCACTAGTCATTTTTTATAACTTATTTACTTGTACATGCTAAAACAATTCATGTGTGAACCGAACCTCCTACATTTTTTGTTTTTTTTTTTGTTGGTCATGAACTCATGATTGAAGTTTGAATTCTGATCGTGGAACACCGAGCACAACCCGATTTCGGCCCATTCAACTTAAATACGACTTTTAACTCTTGATCGAACTGATCAAGTTTAATTGTCAACACATATATTGTTTAAACATTAAAATACAAACAAAGAAGTCTTAAAAGTTAAAAAAAAAACATTTGTTTCAGGCGAAAAAAAAAGAGAGCTGAATGACCCACTTTTGGAATATGAAAAAACAATCCCGACTTTAGTAAAAAAAGAGAGAAATGAAAAATCCCGACTTTTTGGAGTTTTCTCCGTCAATGGACTAATGGAGAGACATGGAATAGACCACCAATAAGCATCTCAAGCGTTTATTATGATAATTAAAGAGATTTTGACATGTGAAGGAGAAATAGATAATACAATTTATGGTCCAACAAATGCATAATTATTGCACAAGAAAAAGAAAATCCCGTTACGTAATTTAAAAGCCCATCTTGGCTCCAAGACATGGCGATCTTTCGAATAAACGAAGCTGCTTTTAAGGCCCAAGGTAGGTAAAATGGCATTTATCCGATGTACAGTGGGTCACGTACATCATGTATTGTTTTGTTG